TCTATAAAGTTTATCTAGAGTGGAATTATAGTCTATTGGCTGTCCCATATGACCTTGAGCAAGTCAGGTGGTAAAATTGTGCAAAGAGCATGGAAATTAAGAGACAAGAGCATTAATCTTGAATGCATTAATTGGTTGGAACATCTATCAAGCTTACTAATTAAATTTCAAACAGCATTTGCTTTTGGAGTTTTATCTATTAGAAGGATGGCAATTTAATTAATGTCTTCTGGTGCTTGATCAAATTCTATATATATAACCCAGGTCTTCTGGGGAGCAGATAGATGCATGATTCCATTAATTTTTGTGACAACGTGTCAGTGGTTGACCAATATTTCCTTTTAGATGTTTTTTTGTCTCCCTTACTCAGCCCAAAGTTCTAGGATTCCCTGGAGATTCCCATCCAAATATAAATGCAACTACCTATATTGCATTGTCCAAGTACAGCTGAGACAGCCTGAAAATGGGTTTAAGTGCTAGAAGGTGGGGTTTCCCCCCCTCTTACCCCAGCTCAAGACTTGCTGTTCAGACAATTCTGTCTGGTCCTGATGCATGACCCATGGTTTGCAAGACATGTTGGGTGCAGCCATCTTGTCCTTTTTAACTGTGTTGTTTGATTCCTTCACAGGTGACTAGAAATGGACTAGCCCATCCCTGATTTAGAAATTGTAATGAAAAAGCAACTGAAAGGAGTCAGCTCTTGCATTTTCATGCATGGTACGCAATTCTCTTCACAGTGGCCCCTCACTTCCTTTCCACAGGTAACATTCTTAGGAGGATAGTTAAAGCTCCCACACAAATCCCCATAGCACAAGGATGACAAACTTGCAGCCTGCAGACCGGAATGCTTCATGCACTGGCCACGCAGCCCCCTTCCCCGGTTTAGCGAAGGGAGAAAAAGTTGTAATACATCACATGACGTGTTGTTGCAAGTTTGAAACCCCTGCCATAGCACAATCCTTTCTCTACCTCTAACTCTTCAACACTATTTTCTGCAGCTACATCTTATTTGCAAATATCCATGAATACTAGTTAGTAGCCAAGAGATAAAAATCCCTACCGTTCAGTGGTGGAATTCAAAAGTTTTTACTATCGGTTCTGTGGGTGTGGCTTATTTGGTGGGTGTGGCTTGGTGGTCATGTGATTGGGTGAGTGTGGCTTGGTGGCCATGTGACTGCGTAGACATGGTTTGGTGGTCATGTGACTGGGTGGTCATGGCTTGGTGGTCATGTGACTGAGTGGGTGTACCCAACTTAATGTCACTCACGTCAAGGGCTGCCTCACCTGGCCCCTCCCTTCCCAGTCATTCCTTGTCACACCCAGCCTCAACTTATCTATAGTTCTGTAAAAATGTTGTTCACCTTTTTTTGACTTTATTATCTACATACTATAGATGTATTTTCATGGACCACTGAAAGGAGGAAATGGCTCACATGCTTTGCCCAAGAGTGTGATAGGCAACAGGCTTTTAAGGGGCTGCCAGAAAGAAAGCGGGGGGGGGGGATGTATTTTCCAAAGCACCAGAAGGCAAACAAGAAGCAATGGATGGAAACTGAACAAAGAGAGAAGCAACCTAAAACGAAGGAGAAACTTTCTGACAGTGAGAACAATTAACCAGTAGACCTGCTTGTCTCCTGAAGTTCTGGGTGCTCAATCAGTGGAAGTTTTTAAGAAAAGACTGGACAGCCATTTCTCTGAAATGGTATAGGGGTCCCCCTAAAGTCCCTTCTAAGTGTTATTCTGTTATTCTGACACTTTCCCAGGACCTCTAGTCGGAGTTTGGCATCCTCAGTTTTCCTGCCTGACTAGAAGAGCTCCAAAGTCCCTTTAAACAGACATGTATTTAGGCTCTGGACTATAGACATTGAATGCATGTAAACCCTGAAAAATATGTGGTAGCCCTAAGCAAAAGAAAGCCAGTAGAATCACTCTTGGTGTAGGGGCAGTGTAAAATATTAACACATGATAAATAATGGAACAATTAAAATAATAGCACAGAGTTTTCTCTCTCTCTCTCCCCCTTCCTATTTCTTTTCTTTCTTTCTTTGTCTCTCTCTCCTTTCCTTTTTCTCTCTCTCTCACACACACACCACACACACTCTCTCCCTAAAATCACATTTTGTATCCTATAAAAATATTTTAAGATATTACTGCTACTCTATTTTTTATCAAATTTTTATGCTGCCTCCCTCCCCCCCCATAAGGCGATTCTGCCCACATAAATTATTATGTATGATTTGTTGACAGAGGATCTGCAAGGATCTTGGTACAGCTCTGGATGTGCAATCCAGGTCTATGTGCTTAAACCATGTTTAGAACTTTGGGAAAATAGAACTAGTAATGAGTGACATTTTCCCCTTCATATCAGAACCTTTAATACCTTATAAAGTGACATATTTGTACATATGTGTGTGTGCATGTGTGCATGGATGCCTGTCTTATTTCCTGGACTAGTTCCTGCAGTTTTCATGTCAATACTTTTGGAAGTAGTTTGTGGCTGCTTTGGGACTAGCTCAGGGTTACCCAGTTGGCTGTGTGACAAGGGTAAGACTAAAACTCAGCATCTCTTTGTTTCTAGCCTGATGCCTTTAAACACTAGCAACCACAAAATAGTTCCCAAAATCTTGCCATGAAAACTGCAGGAACTAGTCCAGGCAATAAGACACGCACACACATACAAACATGTCACTTTATAAGGTATTAAAGGTTTTGATATGAAGAGGGAAAAGTTATTATTTGTAAAGTAGGTGATGGCTCCAGAAAATCCCCAGTTACTGCTTTTATTTGTAAAAATAATAAAGACGGGATCCAAATAAATAAATCTTCAATTAACACTGTCTGGAAAAATACAATGGCTGTCTTTTCTAAAGTCCTGTTTTTAAATCAAGAACTTCCAAATATTGCACCACTACCTATTCCCTTGGTTTTCTGTAGAGCAAATGGTTTTCATTTTTACATAATCATAACAAATAAACACATGCAAATCATAATATAAACCAAAGCTTGATGATGGCTTATGCATACCAAATGTTGAAAGCTACTTTGATACCCTTTAGTTAAGGCAATTCATATTGCGAGTAAGTCAAATAATATTTAGCAGTATACATTCAGTATAAATCAAAGCACAACAGATTCTTTAAAAAATATTCTGGAAGATATTTTTGGATATGAACTGAATTCTTTGAAGTTTTCTGACGCATTTGTTTTAAATGCAAATGCAAGTCATTACAGTAGCTGATTAACAAAACAATTCACAGATGGCTGTACACTAAAACTGCATCAAGTAACCTAAGTTTTCTAGATTGTGTAGGGGAATTGAAAAGGATGATATAACGATCTGTTGAAATTTTGGTTGTTTTAAACATCTATTTCTTATCTGCTAAGGCATGCAAACAAAACACAAAAGATACATATGCAGGTACATAAAGATTAAAAAATAAATAAAAAAGCAAAACAAAACGAGGTTTTGCAAAATAATAAAAAGAGCACTCTGCCAGCCCTCCTCCGCTTTTTCCTCCAGCTACTAATTGTTACTTGCACGTTTTTAATACTAGTTTGAACGTTTTCATCTCCTACCTGTTTGGATCGTTTTAACCATTATTACAAGTAAAATAATGTCTTCTGTTCTTCTATTGGGAGTTTCTCTTTTTTTCTCCTTTTTCTTTTTTTTAAAATCTTAATAAAGTTTATTTAAGTTTCATATATTTAAAACATTTAAAAAGAAACAAACATATAAACAAATATATATACATATATACATTTTGCAGCAAGTATTGAACATTGGTTACATTTTTCTTTTCTTTTCTTCTTTTACCCCATAACATTGACGTGATCTACCTTGTTACAATACCTTCCTCGTTCTTTTAATGTTTTAATTTCACAGAATACTTTATAATTAAACGCACGTCCTTCACAGTTTCATAACTTATTCAGTTGTCAAATGTTGCTTTTTCTTGAACCATTCATACCCACAGTTTCAAACTTTGTAGTATCGTTGTGGTTTTTTAATAATTTGGTTAGGCTATCCATCTCTGCACACTCCTTTTTTTTCCTCCTTTTTCTAAACAATCCCTCCATACTCTAAGCTTGCCTTGCAAGGGTGACACGCTGTACCATCAGGGAAGTCTCCCTGCCCGAATTTGGCTCCGTTTCTGCCGTGTCTATCGACCCGCCGTTTCCCCTTTGCTGCCAATCCCTTCAATTGTCTCTCAATCTCCCCATCCGGGAACTGAGGACAAAGTTTCTCTTTTCCGAGGCTGTGCCTGAGCGTCGTCTGAACGAGCGAAGAACTAACCGTTCCCGACTCAGCAACGTTTCAAAGTCTTTCTTGGAGACTTTTCCCGCGGGCGAAAGGCGACAGCAGAGCCCCCGGGACCTTGAAGCAGAGACTCTCTCTTGCCGATCTGCAGAGTACACAGAGCAGCTCCTCCCTCCCTCGCCGCCTCCTCGATGAGGCCTGAGCGAAAGCTCTGTGGTGGAAGAGGTTCCTTCTCTCGCCTTGCCTTCCACGCCCCCCCTCCCCACTCCACTCTCTCCCCCCCACTTACTCCCCCATCCTCATAAGGTTTCGAGGCAACTGCACCGCTTCTCCCTCGCGGGATACTTGGTGTAATCTTGTGAGTCACAATCCCTCCCTCTTGGCGTGACGTTCAGCCCGCTTGGGTTGAGGTGAAAGCGGGGTGAGACAAAGATGCCCGTCGGAAGGCTTGTCGGGGAGGACGGGGGGGCTTGGGGTGGGCTGGGCTGGGGGTCAGTCTTGGTGACACTATGAGGTAGGAGGTTGCTGAAGCAGGATCTTTTAAACGAGAGGCTTAGGCAGTCTCTGAAACCCCCTCCCCACTTTTTTTTTTTTTGGCCCCACTTACTTTGCTTTGGGGGGGCGGGGAGTAGATGGGAGTCTCTCACAGTTCTTTTCGTTTCGATGTCCCGCGGTATTGTCTGCCTTTCCCAACCCTCGGTCGAAAGTAGTAGAATTCAGCATGGTTGGGACACCTCGGGCGATGCACAGCTTAACAGATTCCACCCCTGCCCGGACAATTTGGGTCTACCGTAACGGGGATCCGTTCTACTTGGGGAGGAAATTTATAATCAACCCTCGATACGTGCCCACCTTTGAAGCCTTAATGATCCAGCTGAATGAAGGTGTGCCAACACCCTTTGGGGTGCGGAAGCTCTATACACCCAGTCAAGGGCATACTATTACAGACCTACCGGAATTGCAGCAGGGAGGTAGATATGTGGTTGCTGGCAGGGAGAAGTTTAGGAAGCTAAAGTAAGTATGAAGATCGGACCACTGCAGTCGTTTGGACCTTTAAAAGTTTTGCAAAGTTTCTTTTGCTCTCCTTCCTCCTCAATTTTATGGGATAAATCCAGGTAGTACAAATGCCAAAGAAAATTTGCACGGTGCTAATTTTAAACCTTTACCCAGTATTGCCAAAATGAAGAGAAAAAAAAAACGATGCTAAAAGCTGAGTTTAGCATAATACTGAAAATGTTAGTAGGAAATTCAAAAATCCTCCTTGCAAAGTTTTTTCTCTCTTCTGCATCTTTGTGGTAGGTGAACTCCATTTGCCTTTGCAGGATTCATAGTCTGCATTGGAAACTGATTAAGTCAGTGGATTTATAGCTTGCCTGATGATATATACTAGGGATTAAATGCTCTGAATAATAGTTTTAAAACCCCACAAAATAGAAAATGTCTCAAATTGTTAGTTAATCTAGAATTCGTACGTAAAAAATATTAACTTTATATGTATATTTTTGCACTGTGTTTTCTTTTTCCATAGACAGTCCGTCTTTGGAAGTGTATAACTGATCTGCTCCAACCCAACCCTGGTTGCTAATTTGATATTCCTTATTACTCTGCCTTGGATTTATCTAATTATTTAAGGCTCAAGTGCAATATGAAATTCAGTCTGCTCCCTTGCCATTGTCTAACTGGATAGGGAAGGAGTTGCAAAGCAACATCTAGATCCATTAAAAATAATAAATAAATAATAAATAAATAAATAAATAATAAGCAAACAAACAAACAAACAAACAAATAAATAATAAATAAATAATAATAATAAACAAACAAACAAACAAAATTACACCAGGGGTGTCAAACTCGTGTTGTCATGAGGGCATCACGTATCATGACGTATCAGGACTTTTTTTCCCTTTGCTAAACCGGGTGGGGATGGGGCCAGCATGTGACGCATCTGGCCAGGGACGTGAGTTTGACACCTCTGCATTACACATTTAGTAGTCACATAAGCTTGCTTAATTTTACCTTTAACACGAGCACTGATAATGTTACCTAGTTTGAGTAATGAAACATTTGCAAGAAGTCAACCAAGCTCAGAGAGCACCAAGGACCCCCTCTGTTTTATTTTTGGCTAGAGTTTTTCCCATTGATTGTTGTGTGATCCCAAGCTATTGATTAGTTCAGAGAAAAATGGGTAATTCACTAACCAAGCTATGTGCTTTATGAATATAGTCAATGAGTAGTGTGCTTTTACATGCTTCTTTTTGCTGGAGCAAGGAAATTAAGAACAGGTATTACAGTATAGACCAGGGGTATCAAACTGGCGGCCCATGGGATGGATGAGTCATGTGTAGGCCACTTCCACCCCCAGCTCCATGAAGGGGGAAAATGTCATGAAATGTCATGTGACAGCAACGTGACATGGCGAGTTTGACACCCCTGGTATAGGCCAATAAGTAGATCTTTACCTTGGATCGCATGCTTTCTTTTTTTTCTTAAGAAAGTGGAGGGTGATAAAAACTTTGATTTGGCTTAAACAATAGCTAATTTTGGGGAGAGTTGTAGTGATTGGCTTGCTCATAAATTACTGGCCAGCTGGTAAAATCACTTATCAACTGCCTAGATTGGATTGAAAGGACTAAGATTTATTTTTATGATAATGTTTCATTGTTCACTTGGTTAAAATATGTTGTTGTTACTATTAAAAAACTGGAAATGACTTCCGATATACTTTATATATCCAAACTTGTCCTCAAAGTCTTTTGTCTGTATGAAAAATTATTCATAATTAAGTCTCACTAGGATCATTGAGACTCACACGCAAGTACAGGTAGTCCTTAACTTACAACAGTTCATTGTGACTATTCAAAGTTACAACAGTGCTGAAAAAAGTGACATGATTGTTTTTCACAGTTACAACCTTTGCAGTATCCCCATGATCATGTGATCAAAAACCAGACCCTTGCCAACTGTTTTTTATTTATGACCTCGGGTCGTGTGGGTTACTAACTTATCAACTACAGTGATTCATTTAACAACTGTGTCAAGAAAGCTCGTAAAATGGAGCAAAACTCACTTAACAAATGTCTCACAACATAAATTTTGGGCTCATTATCTCTTCATTTTGAAGTCCAAAATGGCATTTGATGCTTTCTTTTTTTCCTAGAATCATAATGAACTCAATTACAATAAAATGAATGTCAGTGTAGATACAGCTAATTTTTGATGAATAGTATGGTTCATCTTGTGCTGTTTGTTCTTTCTTGATGTAGTCCTGTTTTCCATAGAAACAAAGAAATATTGAAGTTTTGAGTAGAACTATTAGACAAGATGAAAGATAATGGGTCTAAAAATTAAAAATGAGACATTTAAATTGGTAGCTTTTGATGATGATTTGGTTTTGATTTTACAAGACCCTCTGGAAGGGATTGAATTTTTGATTTAAAAAATTGTAAGGTTTTGGCATTATAGCATTTTTAAGATTAATTAACAAAACACGATCTTGGTAAAAATATGACTGCATAAGATCAAGAGGATCTGATGAAAAATATCTGGTTTTAAAATGGAGAAAAAGGTTAAATATTTGGATCTTGTTTTGACTAATATGAATTGTATGTTGTCAAAATAACTATGTCAAAATTTCGAATGAAGTTAATGAAGATATGTTGAGATGGAAAAAATTGCAGTTGGGAAGAATATCTGTGATTAAGATAAATATTTTATCTAGAATGTTATTTTTATTCCAGATTACATTGATGCCTGATATAGCATTTAAGCAGTGGCAAAAAGATATTTCCAATTTTTTTTGGCAAGGCTAGAAATCAAGAATTAAATACAAAGTGCTACAGGATAGTAAAGAAAGAAGAGGGTCAAGACTACCAAATTTGAAACTGTATTTTGCAGCTTGTTTTTTAATATGCATGAAAGAGTGGGTGACTCTAGGAAATAGGCGGTTATTAGAATTGGAAGGACATAATTTAAGATTTGATTGACACAGCTATTTGTGGTACAATAAAGTTAAGGTTAATTAATATACGGTAGATTTTAAAAATCATTTTGTTAGACGTGCCATATTGAGAATTTGGAATAGATAGAAGGCAAAATTGTCTTCTAAAATCCATTTATGTTTGTCACACCAAGAATATTTTTTGAGAAGCGAAATGATATTTAAACAAAATTGGTTAACTTATGTTGATCTGAGGAGTTGGGAAGGTTTTACGTGCCATTGGTTTCCCTATGCTCAGTTAATAAGATTTAAGCTTGATAAGAATTATGAATTTGAACATGGTAAGACTAAATTTGATGCGGAGTTGTGTATAAAAGATGATCATATTATTGCTAACTTCTATAAACTTATAGAAAACAGGATAAATTAAATATGTATGATAAAATGGGCAATTTTTAAGATATAATATACCGTATTATTCGCTCCATAAGACGCATTCCCCCCCAAAAAAGTAGGTGGAAATGTCGCTGCGTCGGTGCCAGTCCTTTGGTGAAAGCAGCCGGGCCGTGGGGTCCTTTTACAGTGCTGAACCCTGCCTCTTCTGTCTTCGTCATTGCCTGCCTCTTCTGTCTCTTTTCCGCAGTGTAGTAGTCAATAGGCAGAGCTGGCACATGAGAGAACACCTATCTGTGGTCCTCTCAGGCTCTGTGTGATATTTTTTTCTTGTTTCTAAACCTAGGTGTGTCTTATGGTCAGGTGTATCTTATAGTGCTAAAAATACTGTACCTTTGGATCAATTGGGGAACATATGGAATTTAAGATTATAATTCAGTGTAAAATTATTTAAGACAATTTTTATAAAATTATGTACTGCTGGTATATGGCATCAGATAAGATGTCAAAAACATACAGGGGAATTTCAAATATTCATTGGAAATGTAATCAAACTGAAGGTACATTTTTTCATCTTTGGTGGACATGCAAGAAAGCTAGGAAATATTGGGATCCAGCATATATTATGATGCAGAAGATTTTAAAAAGTAATGTGCAATTGAAACCAGAGATTTTTCTTTTTGGTTTAATAGACATACAAATGGAAAACATCTCATGAAACTTCATTTTTATATATGATAACAGCAGTGAGACTTTTATATGCACAAAGGTAGAAAGAATTACAAATACCTGTAATGGAAGAATGGATGGTGAAGCTGATGGAAATGATGGAGATGATGAAATTGACAGCTTTGACTAAAGAAACACTGAATTTAATTCTACTTGGAAACCACTTTTGGGATTTTTGTGAAGAAATTGAAATGTTAATGAAATGTTAATTTGGGGATCTGCTGATTAGAATTGTACAGTATTATAGGAATAATATGGATGGATGAATGGGAAGGAAGGAAGGAAAGAAGGAAGGAAGGAAGGAAGGAAGGAAGGAACCTCAGACCTCCTGCAGATTTTCAGAATTTGCTGGTGAATTCCCAGATACCAAATGGTTAGAATTCATTTTCCATCATAGTTAGCTATGTCTGCTGTATATATTTCAGCAAAAAGTAATCCATCTCCATTCTCTATGCTGTTATAGATCTCTAAATAGAGCCACAAAATACATGGTGGTCTAATTCCCATGTTAGGTTTAACTTGAAAAGCAAGTGAAGGATTCATGTGTCCTGAGAATAACAAAGAGTCTTCAGCTCAAAATTGTCCCAGTTATACATAAATTAATTCCCCATAGTCATCTAACTCCGTTCAAATCATACAGACTATTTATCTGAGAGTTAATTTCAGAGCTTCTGATGGGACCTCAATTCTTGGGTTTGTCCCACTGCATACCTCCTGTCTCCTCCACAGAGGGTCACCAAAAGTAGAAAGCTTTGTTAGAAACATATGTAAAGAGTGTTTAATAATAAAAACTGTCTGTAAAATAGACATAAGGGGGAATTTATTATCTGCTTAGCCTTTAGATCAAATACGTTTTTCCTGCTTATACTGTTCATCATTTTGAGGGATAATTAAATAATCTTGAAATTCTGTGGCTTATAATTTTTTATGTATGTAAAGATATGAGCAATGAAATTGTTTTTGTTGAAATGACAGTTGTAAATGATAATATTTGAAGTAAACCAACACTTCAGCTTAAATTGTTAACTGATGTGGTATTGTTACTTTAGCTTTTTTTTTGCTGCAGATATTTCTATGAAATATCTATTGTTAGAACCCTAGTAGTATGGTGTGTGGATTTTAGTGGATTGGTAAATAGTAAAATCTGTGTAGGGGTGTTAAACCCAATTAATTGAGGGTCACATCAGGGTTGTGTTTGACCTCGTGTGGGGGGGGTATGGCCAGGGTGGGCATAGCCAGCTGGACGTCACTTCTGTAGGGGGTGCCTGTGGTGGCCCAAGCGATCTGCCAGTGAAAACGGGCTGTGACTGCCTCCTGCAACTCTGCCAGTGAAACTTGGGAGGGCTGCACGCAGTTCTCCTGAGCTCCATTTTTGCTGGCAGAGGCACCGCAGGCTGGTCCTTCACTGTTTCCAGGACAGCCCCACCTCCAAGATCTATGGATCTGGCCCGCAGTTCTTGAGTTTGATACCCCTGCTATAGTGAGTCAGTTATTGGAAACTGATATAAGGTTAGGATTAGGATTAGATAATGATATATGTTAAGACTGAATTAATCTGGGTCAGACCTATGTATCTCCCTATTAAACCTATTCTTCTAATGTTCATTACTACATACATTTTGTCTTTAGTAATGGCATAAACTACTGTAGTTCCGGCATTTAATTGAAGAGAATCTGGGTACATTGAGCTTCTACATAAGGCAAGATTGCTTTATTGGACCAGATTTCTCTTTTGGACCCTATTTACAAATTGATTGACAAATTAATGAGAATGTGATGTACTTTTCTGCAGTTACTCTGATATAGGGACAAAGAAACCTCAACGAAAGAAGAGGGATGAGGTGGTGAGTATCTTATCAGTGCCATGTCCAATAATGTTGTGAAGGAAAGAGTGGATCCATTTTATCAATTTATCATGTACCAACTTAATTTAATTCAGTACATTAAGGTTTAGTAAAATAGAAATCCTGAATTTATTTACTACTTTATATAGAGCGTTCACATATTTATCCTACATTTGATTACAAAGCAGCACAGTAAAATGCTGTAATTGGTTGATAAACCATAATATATGAATTTATATATATTCTCTTCCAACTTGCTTGTTTTGTTTTGTTTTTTTCTTTCCTTATACATAGTCTACACATAATGAATGTCCCTGCCTTCAATAACTACCAGCATCTGGAATGGTTTCTGAATGCAAATAACAGTATCCTATCTGACTGAATCAGTGACTGGACCTCAGCAACAGACATGTGTAGCAGCAATTGTCACTCACTGAGTGTGCTCCACACAAGAAATAGCTTTTGTTTTTGTTTTCTTAGCAGCGTTCCCCCTCCACCCCAATTCTGTCTTCATCTAGTCACTGCTTCCCAATAATAGCAGGAATGGGACTCTGGTTTTTGATGGAAAAGAATGTTTTAAAAATTGAAAGTAATTGCAATTTATAAAACAACAACAAGACGTGGAACTTGATGTGTAAGAACTATGAATATTATTCAGTCAGGATAATCAAAATGAATTATTGGATAAGATTTCTTAAATTCTAAGGGAAAGTTTTTTGCAATACATTCTAGTCAAAATTTGAATAATTAGAAAGGTGTACTCAGATTTCAAATTTGGCCTTGTCTACAGCTGTGCAGATATGTGGGGCTGGCCTTTAAGATTCTGGAGTTTCTCTGTCTCTTGCAGATTCGACCAGTAGTCCATAGTAATATAAAAGTTCCTTCCAAATGGCAATCAATTTATAATAAACCAAGAAATATTAAGTGAGTATTTACTTTTAAAGTTTGTAAGAGTTCTTACATTGCCATTTATGTCTAACTGAAAAAGCATGTTTGAAGATAGTTTGAGGGTTGGGCAAGAATTCACATCCCTGTTTAATATAGAATAATAAGATGGATTAAAAATGCCAAATTCATTATAAACATCTGGATGACTATATGACCAACCATAATAACTTATTAAATTTTTGGGCTACCCAACTCTAAAATGACTCTGGGTGGCTCACAACAATCAAAGAAATAAGTTTGGGCCTAATTATGCTTCTTTCTTGCCTCGCAGGGCTTTTCTGGGTATAGGGGAAGACAATTTTGCATGCTGCTCTGGACTCTAGAGCAGGTGTGAGATGAAACAAAAAAAATCATAAGCCAGTTTTCTCCAATCTGGTATCTTCCAGGCATATTTGTTTATCTGATGGGAAAAATGTTTGCAAGCAAATAAAAAAGGTCAGTTTGGTTTATGTAGGAGCATGCAGACATTAGTTTTTCTTGCTTTTTGTTGCAACAAAACTGCAACTGGACCATTTTAGTAGACAACAAATTCTTTTTTATATACAAGATACTGAGAAATTCATATATTACATTTTCAGTACTGACCTTTGAGTAATTTATCCATCTCACTTTCCTAGAATTTACAAGGATGAAGCTTAGTTAGCAGCAATATCAATCTTAGTTTTTCAAACTTCTGGGATATATAAAAAAGAAAAGGAAGGGACAATGTTTTGCAATGCTTGCAAATGGGTTTGACTATGCCTTTATTATGATCGAATAATGGATCTTTCCTTAAATATATGTAAGTGCCACTAAAATTTATTTCAACAAAGAAACTTTAATATGCATATAATGACAGTTCCACTAGATGGCCCCAAATATCTTACAAATGCAACTTCCATTGCTTTACAATCCTGTTTTAAAGAATCAGTCAGACACAAATATTTGGCCTGAAACCAGATTTACATAATTGATTTAGATGGTTAGTGAATACGTTGTGATTTTGGTTTGTTGCTGCACTAAGAACAATATTGGAATGTTTTTTTCTAGATATTATGCAACTGTTTTAATAATACTTAAAGCAACAATCTACAGTTGCTGCAAATAGTTTCAATGATATATTGCTATAGATAAAGAAGTAGAATGTGAAACTAAAAAGTAGAATTTTCCAGAAATATATAGTACATTGGTATCACAGTATTCTTCAACCCTTGAGGCTGAGTTGTATTTTATTTTTCATATAATGGAACAGATACACACTTAAGTAAAATGGTTAAGGAAGTTAACAGTAGTATTGAGAACAATCCTTTGCATAGCAAAGCTTGTTAGAAATTTCCTTTCCCTTATCCACATGTATGATTGTAAAAGAAAAAGTGGAGGAATGGAAGATCTATATTTATATATATTTATCATTCTCTCTATATCATCTATCTGCCTGCCTGCCTGCCATCTGATAAATTATCCAAAGTGACTCCCTTTAAACAAAGATTTTTGTATCTACATCTCAATCATAGTTTCTTAGAAGCATAAGTCGCATTGATTTCATTTTAACCATATCTGGATCAGTATACTTTAGTCCCACAATAATTCTATATACCATTACAGGTTAAGGAAGAAATATTTTCCAATAGAGGCCTCAGTAGAAAAATCAATTGATTTGATTAGCTTTTTAAAAGAATTGCACTTTATTTCCTCTGGGAATTGTTGAGGGCATCTTCAGTTGGTATAGAGAGAAAATAATTAAATTTTCAAAAGCCGAACCTTTCTTGAGTTCTTCAACTGGACATATTTATATTTTTGAAATAATGAACATTAACCTAATGAGTTTAGAATTTATTAAGATTCTAAAGATTTAAAATTTATTGCTGGATCTGGGAGAATCCTTAATGAAATAACATCAAAGAGTTCTGCTTATGTATTTTCAATAATGTGTCCTATTAAAATTAGGTTTATATATGTTTGTTTTTGACAGTGTTTTCACAAATGGAAATCTCTTGATACCACCCATGAAAATCCTTATACCTAGATTTACACTAAATAATTGGAATGGCGTCCTAGCACTTGTAAATGAAAAAGTAATTCCTCAATCTGGGGGTATTCATAGGTAAGATAATTTTATAGAAACCTTCTATATGAAGAATGAAGAATGGCAATTAAGAGGTGACTTGATAACCACAACCAAACAGATCACACATATCCAACAAAACCAATTCCAAGAATGCATTGCCTCCCCCCACTCCCCCCCAATATGGAGCCACCTGAATACAATCAGGACAGGCCATGCCAGAACTAAAGCAGTGGAGCGAGAGCCACAATGCAATTGTGCTACACCGGAACAAACTATAACACATATAGTTCAAAAATGCCTCTTCAGGAAATTTCGAAGCACCTGGGATGATCTCATTGCAACCACACCAAAAGCAGTTACATAATTAGCTTCCTTAGGTATCAAATTATAATATCTATCCTATTGGAATTCTATGGCTCCATATTATGGTAATTTTATTATGGTTTTATCTTAATTTAACATTTAATCTCCCATATTGTATTGTCCACATATCTTTTATGTGCATATGTAGGTGTATGTGGATGCTTTATTTAAACTAAATTTGTATATCAGTGATTGCATGATCTCTGATGTCATATGCTAAATAATAATAAATAATAACTTCCTTATAAGAGTATACTTAATATATTAATTTTTGCCCTTCCTAAAAGTGAAGTTAAATTAGAACTTTAGGGCAACTGTAATAATCAAAGTATTAGTTTGCAGAAATTTAAGACAGGGCTGTCAGTCTGTTATTCATTAAAGTGACCTGCTTTTTTGTAGGCTTCCATATGAGCTGAAAAAGAAAGATAAAGTTACATGATTAATGAAACTCTTAAAACAGAATTATCTTTTCCTCAGGGTTGCACACAATTTGTGCTTGTGCTTACACAAGTTCTGAAGTAGTTTTGAATTGTTTTTGAAGTCCTAATCTTTACCACCAAAGGCAGTCATACTTCAGAAGAACCTTGCTGCTGAATCAAACGTATTAAAGTGCTTTGCAGAGTGGCTAAATCCTAAACAATCTATCAGGTTATGAGGACAATAATTCTCACACCCTAATTTGGGTACTAGTGGTGGTTTCTTAAATTGTCATTGTTTTCCAGAGAGATTACTGTTTTCCAAAGAGCAAAATAATAGACATCCACTGCTGGAAATCCCCTCTCTCTAAACTATACTATAATTTACGGCTTACAAATAAACATGATTTATAGTGAAACTTGTATTGTTGAGTTGAAAATTCAAACTGTTGTTATTGTTGACAAAGAAAGAAAGAAAAAAGGTTCTACATTTAGGCAAGAAAAATCAAATGTACAGGTATAGAATAGTACCTACTTCAATAGTAATAATTGTGAGAGGGATCTTGGAGTCCTAGTGGGCAATCACTTAAATATGAGCCACCAGTGTGCTGCAGCTGCCAAAAAAGCCATCACAGTCCTAGACTGTATTAATGGAGGGATAGAATCAAGATCACGTAAAGTATTAGTACAATGTCTTGGTAAGACTACACTTGAATACTGCATCCAGTTTTGGTTGCCACGATGTAAAAAAGATGTCGAGATTCAAGAAACGATGCAGAGAAGAGCAGCAGAGATGATTAGGGGACTGGAGAATAAAACATATAGAGAACGGTTGCTGGAATTGGGTATGTCTAGTGTAATGAAAAGAAGGACTAAGGGTGGCATGATAGCAGTATTCCAATATCTCAGGTGTTGCCATAAAGAAGAGGAAGTCAGCCTATTCTTCAAAGCACCTAGGGCAGGACAAGAAGACATGAATGGAAACTAATGAAGGAGAGAAGCAACCTAGAACTAAGGAGAAATTTCCTGATAGGTAGAACAATTAATCAATGGAACGACTTGTGGATGGTACAACACTGAATGATTTTAAGAAGAGATTGGACAGCCATTTGTCTGAAGTGGTATAGGGTTTTCTAATGTCCATTCCAAATCTGTTATTCTGAGGACCTTTTCAGATTTGTAAACTATAGTTTGGAAGACTCTATTGTCTAATTTGTTTTTTGCTCTTGAATATTTAAAACTCCTGTCAGTTTGCATGCAAGTTGAAGGAACATGAGATTTCTACATGAATTTGGAGTACATGATTTGGCTTACAACTTAAGTAACCACATTTCTTTGTAGCATTGCCAATGGATAGCACTGCAAGCTTTAGGTAAGCTGTTTTTTCTCTGTATTTGCCTTTAACTTGCAGTCAAGATGTAATCCTGATTTACACTGAAAGGTATTTTAATGTGTATTGCTTTTTTCTATCCTGTCTAAAATTTGGAGTTGGATGCAATGATTACTAATTTTCTCAATGTTAGAATCAGAAAGTTATCTCTTCACTTTGGTCATTGTTTCTGTGTATTTTTATAGTTATTGTGTTTTAATTTTCCTTTTATAATAATTCCATTCTGTTCCTGCTTGGGTCTTGAGGTCCTTCAAATTTACCAGTACTTCTCTTTGTTTTGGTTTTACATAATTGAAGACCAAAGGTAGAATTCAAAATATAAAAGTAAACATTTTAGGGTGAGTAAAGTTTATAATGTCATTTAAGTATACTTATACCCATATTAATTTCCTCTCCTTTATAGATTGTTTACTTTAAATGGTCAGCCTGTAGATGGACCTGATAAATTAGAAGATAACCAATTTTATATCGCGTGTGGCAGAGAAAGATTTCAGCATTTGCCATACTGGCATCATCCTAAGGTTCCAGAAAATATTCGTCGGTAAGCTAGGTCTTGTCTAAACTGATCTTATGTAGCTTGTTGTTGAAAACCAGCTCTAGCTGAGCCAAAAACTTTATTTTTCTGAGAGTTAAGTTAAAGATTTATGATTACTTGGATTGCATGTATTTTGCAGGGGTTTTTTTTCCTTCTGAAATGAAAAATATGAAGTTGATCTGCAGATTTAACTGTTTAAATCCTCCTTTAACCCAAAGCTTTTTAAATACACTCATTTGTCTCTATTCTAATTTGTTTAATATTAGTTTGCTGGAATAATAAAGTATTTATTTAATATACAGTATAATATAATAGCTTAATTGTTAATATGTCAATAATACTGAGTTAAAACATTCAAAGATTTTTTTAAACAATGGTATCTATCTCATTGTTGCTGTTCCTTTATTTTTTAATTATTGAAGGCATGCTTCTATGGTAATTAATATATTAGTCACTGATTTCATTATTTTGTTCCATATAAGAGACATGTAAAATATTATTAAAGCAAGCTCTAATACCCTTGCCATTCCACAATGTACAGTAGATATCATTTTTAAAAATGTTCATACATTCCATAACGTATAGATTTGAAGACAAGGACAATGAAGGGTAACAAAGGAAACATCTAGGGCAGTGGTGGCTAATCTTTTTCGGCTCCCGTGCCGAAAATTGTGTGTGAGCTTGCGCACACGCACGTGCCAGCACCCAGAAGGCAATGCTTGCTGCCTCCCCATGCCCCTTGCGCATGCGTACATGACCCCCTGTGCCATGCATCTCTGTGCATGCATGATTCCCATGCACATTGCGCATCTCTGTGCATGTGTGCAAGACCCCCACGCTGCGCATCTCTGCACATGCATGCACGTCTCCCATGCACCCCTGCATCGCATGCATGCGCGCCAGATACCCGACAATCAGCTGTCGGATGGCGGTGCACGCGCTCATTCGCAGTGGGGCTCTTCCGGGTGACCTCTCACGTGCTGGCAGAAGGGGCTTTGCGTGCCACTTCTGGCATACGTGCCATAGGTTCACCATCACGGATCTAGGGTAAATTGTGCCTATAAGCCAAATGAAGAGAAATACCAGAAATAAAATTATGGATGGATTGTAATAATAATACAAGGGTATGTTAAACTTAATAATTCAGCAATGAATAGCTTCAGAACATTCCAGAATGTTCCCTTCCCTTCCAGACACTATCAGAATTCTCTAAAACATGATGTTTTGTGGGCGACTTGACAGTTTCTCAAAGTAATTGCCAAACTACAATCTGAAGCTGGTTCGCAAAGTCCTGGGTGTGGTCTAGCTCTGAGCAGGCCTATTTCATTCAGATACTTTGTGGGATGTGAAATGTTCTATTCCTTTATATGTTCTGCCCATCCTGAAAAGTAACAGTTTAGGTTGCAAGCAGTCTGAATTGTTTCACATCAGAAAAAAAAAAGGGAATGAAGTACTTTTAGGACAGTATCTAGCGGTAAAAAAAATTTCATTTACCTGAAAGATGAAATCTAGGAAGAAAATTTAGGTCTGAAAACTAGATCCTGCCCTTAAATTAGAGTAAACAATGTCTAACATTGAAATGTTTAAGGTACAGCTCCAGAGTCCTGCCAAAAGATGTCAGTATATTGAAAGTTTTAGTGTGACCTACTGATAAATGTCTAGGGAATATGCGATGAATAATTATACTAAATTTAATTTAATTAAACTAAATTTGAACAAATTTAGTGTTTATCCTAGCGTTATTGATTTTTTCCCCTTAACCCAGGCTCATAAAAGATTGTATACTACTGCAAATTAAATCCTAAGATGTCTTTGAAAGGTTTTCTATTCCCTCACCTTTCTATTTCTTTAAAAAAATGTTCTCATGCTCACTACTGGGATTATAGTAGTCTGTGACCAACTAATCTGAAAGTTATTTATGAATCTGAATGGTAGTTCTCACTCTATTAAATAAACATAATTACAATAATATTATTTGCAGTTACATTTATAAATAATTATTTATGTATTTTTTGCATTTTAGGGATTTTTCAAATTCACCAGAACCTCCAGAAAAGCCCCCTATGAAAAAGGTAAGAATTTGTTTTAAAATGCTATGAAATATGCAGTGTATATACGTAACATTCACTCTTAATACTGCTTGAGCGCCATTAAGTCTTGCAGTTGAGCTAAATTTATATGGGCAAACTTTCAGTCTAAATGATTTTTAGTTATTGCTCTACAATTTTTGCATATCATGTATTACAAAATATAATACCATAGCATCACAGCACAAATGTTATTCTTCCTTTGTGGCAATGCAAAAAGCAGAATCTTGGTAAATCCCAAAAATATAATAATCAAATACATCAACTCACTAACAGCCAATTTGTTATAAGTGCAGTTTATACAAGAAAGAGTATCATTCTTGGAATTGGCTGTTTGTCCAAATCTAATGGTACTAATACTTTAGCATCATTCCACCATGGGCAGTAGGGTGTAGATATAGAGTTAAGGATTTACTCTGTCCCCTCTTACTTTGCTGATGTAACATCCTACCTTTCTTCCTTATAACATAGAATACAATAGCTCTCCTGCTATTCACCCATATTATCTGCAGAATGCAGGATAGCAGGGACTGCAGAGTGCAGGGAATCAGAATAAAACAGAATAACCGTGTTGGAAGGGGGAAGGGACCTTGGAGGTCTTCTAGTCCAACCCCTTGCTCAATCAGGAAACCCTGTACCATTTCAGACAAATGGTTGGTCCAATCTCCAGTGTTGGAGCACCTGCAACTTCTGGAGCAAATTATCCCATTGATTAATTGTTTTAATGACAGTAAATTTTTCCTTAGTTCTAGGTTGATTCTCTCCTTGATTAGTTTCCACCCATTTCTTCTTGTCCTGCCTTCAGGTGCTTTGAAAAATAGATTGATCTCTCTTCTTTGTGGCAGCACCTTAGAAGGGTTTGGAGGTCATGTTATCTTTGGGTTACAGTAACAGCCCAAAGTTTGAGGACGGGGCATAAAAACCATTCAGCCCTTGTACCTTTGAACAATTGCTGAAGAAATGGTCATTAAAAATGGATATTTTCTAACAAAGGAAAGAGCTGTGCCATATGTTCTCATTCTCCAGTCCATTTCTCTTTGTTACCACTGGACTGTGAGCTGATGTATTATATTTTTACTCTTCTTTTTACTTACTTTATTTTTTATTTTACTTATTTTGCCTTCAAGTTAGTATTGACTTTTGGTGATTGCCTTGACTAGTCCCTGCATTTTCTTGGCATAATTTTGGAAGTGGTTTGCCCTTATCTCCTTTGTAGGATGAGAGTGATTGGCCCAATGTCGCCCAGTTGGCTTTGTACCCAAGGCAGACCCCTGTGCCTTAGAAAGCACTAATGCTGGGTCTTCCCACTTGCAGTCCAACACCAAAACCTCTGTACCACACTGGCACTCCAGAACAAAGAGAGGGAGAGAATTCGAGAGTTCTGAACACCAAAGAAATAAATCCATCATTTTGGGATTTGTATTTGTTGCAGCCTCCTATAGAAGCACCTAAGCAAAGAAATCGCATTGTGACTCCCATAGAAGTATCAAGACAAGGAGGAGGTGATAGGATCTCCGTTTATTATGCCAAATCTGACAAAGCAAGTCAAGAAAAACAGGCTCCTAGACCTGTGTCTCCCAATGATGGTAACATGACATAATGTAGCTGGTGCCTAAGATTTCAGAATGACATTGGGTCTTTTCCTGCTTGCACTTAATTGTGGCACAGATTTGATCTGGGAGTTAAGTCATCCTTTACTATACTAGCATTAAAGTCATGTTTTTCCTCTTACTCCAGCTTCAAGATGTATAAAATCTATAAAGCTTTGTCGCCTTTACTTTGGAGCAGTGTTTGTCAACCACAGTAGCTTTAAGCTGCGTGGATTTCAACTCCCAGAATCCTTCAGCTGGCATGCTTGCCTGAAGAATTCTGGATATTGGTCCAGAGAGATCCAGTCCTCAGTTGCTATTTGTGATGTGCTGCGGGGCTCAATATTCTCTCCACTCCTTTTCAACATCTGTATGAAATCTCTGGGCAAGATCATCCGTCACCAAAGGTTGAGGTATTTACAGTATGCCAATGACACCCAATTCTATATTTTTACTCTTGGTGACCCAAGTGATGTTATGGCTGCTCTCTCATGGTGCCTGGAGGCTGTGGGAGGCTAGATGGAGGGAAAACAGGCTTCGACTGAACCTTGGCAAGACTGAATATCTTTGGATACCCTGAGCTCCAGAATCTGGGACTTTGTTATCTTTGACTCTGGATGGGGTGGCACTGCCTCAATCAGTTCTGGTCTACAACTTGGGGATTCTCTTGGACTTGTGATACCTGCTTGAGAAGCAGGTGGCTGTCACACTCGCCACGTGTCCTTGATTTTAATTTATTCTTGTTTTAAGGTAGATATATTTTTATGTCTGTAAGCCGCCCAGAGTTATCTTATAGTAAGAGGGGTGGCCAATAAAATTGATACATAAATAAATAAACTATAAATAAATTGAAGTCCACATATTTTAACATTGCTCAGGTTGAGAAACACTGCTTTGGAGAGAAGTCAAATGTCGACAATGATTAGGAACAGAGACAATAGATATAAAATAAGGACTGCCAGTGAAAACAGCAACTTTCACACAATATTCTTTATGAAGGGATGGATGGACAGCAGTGGGAAAAGGCCCTTTGTAATTGTACTTGTATATTTTATTTTATTTATTTATTTAATTTGATTTGTCAATTGCTTACAAGATAATAGGTATAAGAATAAACATAGTTTATGAATACATGAAATGGATACATATAAGAAAAATAAAAGAAACAATAGGACAGGGACGGTAGGCATGTTGGTGCGCTTATTCTTGTGCTTGAGAAATGAACATAATTGGTGCTTACATCAAACTATTTTGGTTAAATTATATGTGACAGTAATTGCAAAACAATAGTCTCCAAATGCAAGTTTCATTTTAAACACTTCATAGTTCTGTAAGATCAACGGAGGAAATTGCTCTTCAAGAATATTAATTCTTGTTCATACCTCTCTAAATTATTTGCCTTAAAATCAGTTGTGAAAAACCCTCAAAATTTACATTTAGAATAGGCACCTCTTGAGCTTAAGCGACTACTTAGAGTTACAAGGTTGATTTAGTTATACTTTAATTCTCAAAATATGTAAATCATTGTTCTTTAAGAATTGTGTAGCAAAAAATTCTCATTATATTTTGCACAACTTTGGTAGCCCCTTCAGATCCTTCTCATTTGCCACTGAAATTTGGCCGTAAAACTCATTGTCAAATTTCACTTGTTAATGGCTTAGATCCTATATTCAGTTGCTTCAAAGCTCAGGTTAGGAACAGGAAGTTAACAAATGAAAAATACCCATTTTAAGATTCAAAGATGAATTACATTAAAATTTCAGATACATTTTGGAATTGTTTGTATTTTAAAATGCTCTCATTTCTTCTCTGGGATAACCCTATCTGATGATCATGTATTTGTACTTAATGTACAATTATGTGAAAAAGTATATTTTCTGGATTTTTGGATATCTCTGCTGTCGATTTTATCAAAAATACTCATGAAAAGGAAATTTGAGTGAAGAAATCACCCAAAGGTTTCAAATTTGTTTCATTTTTTTTAATAAACAGAGTTATCTGACATGTAATTTGTCAGAGTGAAAAAGTTAATCCCTCTCCTTCTAATTTGGTTGATGTAGCTAAAGGGTTAATTAGGACCAACAAGTACTTTAGTAAATTGTCAGCTGATTTGATCCAGCTTTATATATTTTACACAAACTTTGATTTTTCTTAGTGGCACATTGTGCCCTACTAAAAAGAAATTTCTGAAGACCTTCATAGAAATAACATTGATACCTGTCTCTCTAGAAGAAATGACAAAATCTTATATGAAACTTCAGAATCCACCAGTCTATAATTGGAGATATGGTTTTAAAATGAAAAGATTTGGAACAATAAGGAACAGTTATCCTGTTAAAATCTCTCCAAGAGCACAGCATAAAATGGTTCAAAAAGTCACAAAGGACCCCAGAACAATATCCGGAGACTCGCAGTCTTCACTAACCTTTGTTAAAATAAGTTTTTAGGACTCCAACATCAAGAAAAGAAAACAAACCGAGAAAACATGAAATTCATGGGAGAATAGCAAGACAGAAGTCATGGCTCATAAAATAACATTAGTGCTCATCTCAAGTTTGGAAGAAAAATATCTGGGTGACTCTCCAGACTTGTGAAGCAATGTTCTGTGGACAGATGAATCAAAAGTACAACTTTTCAAGCTACATGAAGCTATGGCTATTAGAAACCAAGTATCGTATTCCACAACAAGAATATCATACCACTTGTCCAATCATAGAGATGGTAGCATCATAGTTTTCTTTGCTGCTTCAGAATCTGGATGTGCCATTATTTAAAGGAAGGGGAATTCTGTTTGTTTCGGAAGATTTCACAGAAGAATACTAGATCTTTTGTCTCCTAAATGAAGTAGAAACCACGAGATGGTGATCCCAAACATACAAGTAAGTCTCCAAGAACATGAATAAAGAAAAACAAACTACTTATTTTAGAATGAAAAATATCAAAGTCATAAACACCACTCAAATGTTACAGCAGGCACTGAAGTGTACGGGTCACACTAGAAAACCTTCAAATGCTACTGAAATGAAGCAGTTTGCCATAGAGAATTCATTAACGTTCCTACTTAGTGATGTGAAGGACTGAACATTTGGATGCAGTTATCAAAGCTTAAGAGTGGTACAACTAATAACCGAAACTAGGGAGAGGAGTGACTTTTCACACTGGTACATCACACGTTAGATGACATTGTTGATGCATTCATTCTCTTTATGTCTCAGTAGATCCACATGAAGAGAGCCAGTTTGGTTAAGGCATCAGGCTAGAATTCGGGAGACCATGGGCTCTTCCCACCTGAGGCACAAACTCAGCTGGGTAGCCTTGGGCCCTATCTCTCTCAGACCTGGAAAAGAGACAGTGGCAAACCACTTCTGCAAAAACGTTGCCAAGAAAACTGCAGGGATTACTCTTCAGATTTAGAAGCACCAAAAATAAATGTAGCTGTAATGGAATAACAAAGTGAATAATTCTGAAGTATTTTTTCCTTAAAAGTGTAAGATGATGCCCCCTAAAATACTATTATTATACTAATATTGTATTATCACAATGTTGAAAAATTAATAACCCTTTAAAACACGGTTTGCACTTTTCTGATAGGAACTTTCTTATTGCAATGAACAAATGTACTTGCGGCGATGTGTGTACTTTTATTGCTTTTTTATTATACTCAATTTGGTTCTTTGTTTTTAGAAAACAGTGGCAAAAATTCAAGGCTTACGGTAGTTCCTTTGTTGTTCATTTGGGTTTTAGGCAGCCCATATTGGATCAATTTGCCTTGAAATACTAATTGAACCCACACATACAAAATAAAGCTGAACAGCTTGTAGCAGAAGGCTAAACATTTAGGAATTTAAGTATTTTTATTATTTATCAATTCATGCTTACAAAGCTGAATAATATCTCCTTTTGTTTACTCATTTACTAACAAGGATGATTCTTAATGTAAAAAATACTGATTATTAGACAACTGTGGCTTAAAAATGAGGTTCAAATTTCTGTTACAAATAATGCTTAGCAAAAACAATGTAGCTATAGTTTTTGTCTATAGATATGCATGTGTACAATGTTTGTGTTTGTAGTTCCATAGAGTAAGATAAAACAGTTTTTAAAATTAATTTATTTTCAGAGCATAGTGTTTATATAGCTCGTAAATCCCCGACAGAAATTGAAGGGGCTCGTGAGATTCAAGAAGACAAAGATGTTAAAGTGGAAATACCTATTGATCAGGTAAGTTTAAAATAGATATTTCCTGAATGAATTTATTAGAATTTTTATTCCCAACTGCCCTTGTTTGTTTTTCTTTCAGGACTCCTAAAAAAGTCAAAATGTTTCTGTTAAGGACCTAACACCTTGTCAACTAGATCTCCATTTCAGATTTTAAGTAGCAGACAACATAACTTTTTTTTTGAGTGAGGGGGTATTCTTTTTAAGTGAACATAAATTATAATACAGCTACCAGTATTAATATGTATACTCAAAAATAGTCTATGCTATATCTTCAGAAATAAAATACTATGGATGTCAAAATCTTAGGAAGTCTCTGACTTTGTAGATTCATCTCTGGCTTTGGCATTATTACGTGCCTATTGGACTAGTGTCACTTGAACACTGACTTAAATAATGAGAAAATACTCAAAGGCATGCCTTGTTTAGTTAAGATGATTTCCAGATGAATGACTTTCCTTACTAGTCTAAAGATGCTATGTAACTATTAACTCTTCAAAAGGAGTGTTCATATTTTTGCTGCCATCTACTGGCCAGGTAGGGTTGTGCCCCTTATTTCAAAGAAGCAGCAGCATACAGTATATTTTCTAATCATTTAAAAAAATTCTACTGGTTGTCTATTCCAGTGGTGAAATGCTACCAGTTTGACCTGGTTTGGCTGAATGGGTAGTAAAAGAAAAAGCGCCAACGATCAGCTGAGAGGAGAAAGAAGAGAAAAGTGCAGGATCGGCCGTCCCACCCCTGTGCTTTTCTGTTCTTTATCCTCTCAGCTGACTGGCACAGCAGAGCCTCAGCTGGTGTTTGGAAAGCTGCACGAGTGCGGGCGTTAGGTGCGCGCATGTGCGAACTGCACAATCACCAAATCGGGAGGGAAACTGGTAGAATCCCGCCACTGGTCTATTCCCTGGATTTTGATATTCCATTATTAAAGGGAGAGAAATTAGAACAAAAAAAACCCTATCTGACCAAACACAATCATTAGTAAGAACTGGATTTTTGATTTGCTTGTGTAAAGTAGAAAAATCAGTTTTTAAAAGCTAAATAGAACATGGCTGATTTTTTTATTGTGATAAGGTTATGCCAGAAAGCTTATGTTTTGTTTTTTTCTGGTCATGTAAATAATAACTGGATTTTATTCTAATGAAGTCTATAACTGAGGTTTTCCAGAACAAGGAAACTTATTCATATCCTGGAATTACAATAAAACGTATTAGTTTCCTTACTGTTTTTTCAATATTGGAGTGTTAATATAAGGTGTTTAAACTCCAGTGCCTTTAATGGAAACAAATAACTGCTTGTCTTTTTTTCCTTATTTGTGATAAAATAATATAGGATAAATTTCATTTTACTGAATTCTGTTCATGCAAATCTTAAACAGACTTTATTTCTAAGCAAAACTGTAGCTGAGAGTGTCCAAAATTAGAAAAGGTATTTGCATCCTGGAATTAGAAAAGAAAAGGTTAGTTTTTGTTAATTGTTTTTACAGCATTTGAATTGATATTGGTTATTTCAAATGAAATCTCAGGCATAAATCCTTTTTTGTCAGTTTGTTAAAAAATATTATGAAATTTGCAGCAGGTTTTGTGTTTATATTGTTACTCGAAAGAAGTAAGTCTTAGGTTTCCTACATAGAAAATTTATTCCTCAAAGAGGAAAACAGCTGGCTGCTTTTTTCTTAATCTGTAATTTTAAAAAGCTGTAAGTTGTTTACTTTTTTTAATATAAATCTGAATTGGAATTTATGTTATCCAAGGTTCCAGCTGAGATCATCCAGGATGAGGAGATTTATGAAGATCCTGGGAATCTAAAAGAGCAGGTTTGTTTTTGTTTTTGTTTCTATTTTAAGCAATGGGATTTGTAAAAGATATGTAAAAAGAAATCCTGATTGTAGCTTAAAGTTTTTTTCATTTTAAAACCAAAAATAATCTTAGCAACTAAAATCATTTAGGATAGTTGTCATTTGCATTTGCTGTTCATAAGAAGTGACTTTCAGGGTTACTAACAAAGGGCAAAAGATAAAGGGTTGTTTTAAAATAGCAGAGCAAAGTTACTTTTCTTTAATTCATGATAATATAGGAAAACTTTGATTTATTTCCATCTTTTATGCAAACATAACTAGACTTTATCTTACCAAGGCTCCAGCTGAGATTGTTCAGGATGAGACAATTGATGCTGAGAATATAGAGGAACAGGTCAGTTTGACTTTTGTTTTTTTATAATACCAGAAAGCAAAATTAGGTATTTAACATGAAATCTCAGTTTTGAGTGCTTGCTTCCTAGTCTGTTAAAAAGAGAAATGAATGTAAAATAACCCAAACTACTGGTATATATGATAATTGATCTGATTAACAGCTGGAAAAAAATCAGCACATTCTGCCAATCACCTCAGCTGCAGGGTAATGTAGCTTCAGGAATATTGAAATCTATGTGCTTAATAATTAACTGTTCAATGGTTTAGGCATATGTTGCAAGTGGGTACAATAATATGTTTTATGTTTAATTTTCTTTTTGTGTTTAACATTAAAATATATAGCATATATTAAGTATAATTTCAATTTCATTTCTACCTTACTCAGGATAGTCGCAGCTACACACACACACACACACACACACACACACACACACACACAAAGCTGTTGAATCTATAAAGATTCCCAATCATCCAGGTCAAGGTTGTCCCAAAGGTGCTTTTCCAAAAGGCAATTGGATTTTCTTGTTTTTTCTCTGTGAAAACGTTTTGTTTCTTATCTAAGAAGCTTCTTCAGAAGCTAAGCATTTGCAAAGAAAACAAACAAACCAAGAAGGTCCAATTGCCCTTTGGAAAAGCATTTTTGGGACAAGCTGTTGAATCACAATGTCAAAAATAGTATAGCCCCCCACTTCCCCTCCCCAGTTTCAGCCATTTGGGACATGCATGCAACATCACATGGAATAGGGACAGGGCTTGCATCACAACACTACAACACTGTCTCTCCTTATATGGGTGCACAAGGCTACATAATTCAGCTCTGGCAGATGGTCGTCCACTGAGGACAGAAACCATCTCTTTATGGAGAGTGAAAACATTGTGCTTACCCTCCAAATGATTTTATCCATAGCAATTTTGACCATTGTCTCTCTGGCCTTCCTCAAGTATCACAGAAGGTAGAGGAGGGTGGACAGTTTTTCTTGCCACAGTCATTAAGTGAATCATTGCAATTGTTAAATTAGTAACATATTTGTTAAGTGAATCTGGCTTCTCCATTGACTTTGCTTGACAGATGGTCGCAAAAGGCGATCACCCGACCTTGGGACACTGCAATAGTCATAAATAGAGGCTAGTTGCCAAGCATCCAAATTTTGATCATGTGACCATGGGGATGATGCAAAGGTCATAGGTGTTAAAAAAACTATGGTCATAAGTTTGAAATAAGTCATAAGTGAGAAAAACCTAGAGTCATAAGTCACATTTTTTTCAATGGCCATTGCAACTTTGAACAGTCACTGAATGAACAGTTATAAGTCAAGGACTATCTGTGTTTGGAGCAAGTGGTTGCAGGCTCTAAGCACATGAGACTTTCAAGGTTATAACCAGCACATAGTAATAAAACCAGCAACCCAAGCACTATCCATAGGACTGATGTTGCATGACTGCTTTGGGCCATAAAGCATGAGCACCAGTGCTTAAGATACGAGATTGTTTCGGTTTTTATGTAGGCTCCATCTAACCCAGGGGATTCCTGGGAGTTGAAGTCCACAAGTCTTAAAGTTGCCCAAGATGGAGACCCCTGATCTAGCCTGTTATTTTAATATACATCTAATATACATTCATTTTTATTGCAAAGTATTTTTTAAATAACAGTAACCCAGAATGTTGTTCACTGTAGAACCTACAATAAGATAAAAAGCTCTACTCCGCTATAATGGATGTGGATAAGATGTAGTAAATGTACCTCTTAGATTTCAAGACTAAAAAATGGAAAGATTAATTCTTACTGCTTTTTTCTGTAGGCAAAAGAAGGTGAGCAACTGCAGGTCAGTGTTAAATATTTTTTTTCAGTTTTTAAAACTTATGAAATAGCAAAATATGAAATTATTGAGTTGGGAAATTTTGCTTTTTGCTTTTGCTTTATAGTCTTTTTATAGTGGCCGAACTGGCATGGAAGCTAACTAGGGTCACCTCTGATTAGTACATGAATAAGAGATTACCTTGAAATCCTTGGTTATAAATTTAGGCTGGAAGTAAAAATAAATCTAGAAGAAAGCTATTTAATTATTATTCCCTTCCAAATTACATGGATATGTCACTAGCAGTCTAGCTCAACTCCAAGGGGACATTAATTTTCTTTGTTTTCACTAAGCATTTCTTCAAGCGAGTTAGTTTATTATATCAGAAAGTAAAACACCATCTTCCATATTGGTTCCACCACAGAACAGAGATAATGAATTTATGAATCTCACTTTTTCACATGTTCAGTTGTAATCTCAGATTAATTTCATAGGGAAAAATGGCTGTAGAAGAGCTAAATTACAATCTTGCCTGTCAATTACAATTGATATATCAGATTAGGGAAAGCATTGACAGAATATTGAGGAAGTAGTCTGCTAATTTTAGCTCCTACTGTGAAATCCTTCTTTTTCTTTTCAAATATTTATATTTATAATGTATGGAATTGAAGCTTGTATTGTGATACAAATAAAGGGAAGCCTTTCCCATGGTTCTTTAAAAATTATAATTTTTACACAGCCTCAAGTTTCTTCGTTCCTTTGGAATATTTGGAATAAACAATAACATATTTTTATAATTTTGAATAAACAGAAGGTTTCTTTTAAAATGCTAACTCAATGATCCTGTCTAAAAGATAACTAAAGTTTTCATTCTCTGATAAAATTATGTTTCTTCTGTTAAGATTGAGTTTTCAAATAAGAAACTATTAAGCACTTATAGATATAGGTCTTTTCAATGTCTCTAGGTGCCTACATTTTCTTATATTATCTATACAATATATATGTAAAACATTTGCTTTGGCAAAGTTACAAAATATTTGCTTCCATTGGATTAAGCAATGTGGAATGTGGTTTAAATACTTGCTAAAATCCATAGGAATAATTTATTACTATTGATTACTTCAGTCATCCACTATAAGTGAAAGAGTACCTTTTAATTAATAATGCCAAATCTGCCAATAAAGTGCATCTTGCTTGATGAAGCATTTTCTCTCCCACTGAAATTGTGTGACTTTAAAAAATTAAATCTATATTGATTTTCTAATTGGTTTTCCATGCACTATCCACAAATCCTTTTAAGTGAACATATCTGCTTATTTTTGGAACAGAACTTAGTGCCTACAGTTATATATTTTAGAATTGCTACCAATTCTGATATGAATTAACTGGAATTGTTATATATCAGCTGAAACCTGAAGAGATGTGTAGAACTAACTTGCAATTAAAGTTTTTAATCTAGGCTGCAACTCTTCATGCAGTGAGAATTTTGACACAATTCTACCACATGCCCATTACTGGAATAATTTTATATAGAATATTGTAGCATCATAAGCAGCTAATATGTGTGAGAAATATTTATTTTGAATATAAACTATGCTTGGATATAAACATTCCCAAATATTTAGAGTAAGATTTTTAGTGTACGTGATCAAAAGACAATTGGTTGAATCTTACATTTAATTCTGCTGGATGAAAAAAAATGTAATTAATACATTTTTAAAAGTTTCTATTTTCTTGGTTTTAAAGCATATCATGCATTCTTTTAGTCTACCTTTAATGTACAACTTCTTATTGTTCTCAAACAATCACATCCTGCATCGCTAGTCAGTCTCTTGAAATCCCATTCAATATATTTCAATTTTTTGTGTTCGTCATTTGGTTTTGAAGAATATAGACTATTATATAATAAGCCTCTGTTCTGAGACATAAGAAGGCCTTGGTAAATTTAACACCATTATAAATCAAAATTATTTTGCACTTAAATTTCTGACTCAAAACTTTTGAGTTCAAAATGGTGCAAATTCAAAATATTTTCTACATTATTGGAAAGGCTGGGATCTATGTGAAGTGAAAGAAAAATAAAAAAATTATTACCAGTTGACCTAGCGCTCCTTATTGTAGTCTTTTGGAAAATCTGCCATTTCTCATACATATATATGTATATGTGTGTGTAAGGGGCGTGATAGCTCAGTGGTTAAAGACATTGAACTTGTCAGCTGCAAAGCTGACCACCTGGGTTCCAGACCTGAGCACCGTGTGATGGGGTGAACTCTCATCCTTGCCCCAACTTCTGCTCACCTTGAAGTTTGAAAGCATGAAAATATGAGTAGATAAATAGATACCACTTTGATGGGAAAGTAATAGCGTTCTGTGAGCCTCAGCGTATAGCCATGCTAGTCACATGACCACGGTAAGTGTTTTGGGGCAACACTGGCTTCCATAAATGAGCACCATGCTCTAGAATCAGACATGCCTGTAGATGGAAACTTTTACCTTTACCTTTATATGTGTATGTATGTATATACTATATATGTCTGTGTACACACACGCACATGCACACATCCTTTATTTATTTATAAAATTTGTATGCTGCCCATCTCACCGATCACCAAGTGATTCTAGGCGACTTACAATATATTAAAAAGGTACAAAAGATAATATAAAGTGATTAAAATTAACAGGATTAAATAATATTATATATACACAGTCAAACACACATATATGTAAACTCTATATATACATATAATATATATGTTTTCTTAAGTTTTCGCGGGTACTTACATGTATGGTATTCAGCTTTGCTCGGGTATTTTCCCACGTCATTGTAGTTGTGCTTTTAAAGTTGTAGCAACGTTTCGGCAGAATCTCATCTGCCATCATCAGGGTTCAATACAGAAGCCTGATGATGGCAGATGAGATTCTGCAGAAACATTGCTACAACTTTAAAAGCACAACTACAATGACGTGG